AATCTAAAGTTTCTTTAAACACTAATGAGCCAAATTTCAGTGCTTGTTACAGGTTGTAATTGGAGGATTATGAAGGTTTATTGTTAGTACACTTATCAATACAGACTGTAAAAATATGGAAAAATATGGAGAGTGAAGCTCTCACCGCAGGGAACAAGATGCATATTTTTATTTATTTTTTGCCCTTCTCCTGGCCTCTCAATATTTTTGTGTATCAATAATTTAATTTTCTGCCCAGAAAATATTATCTTTCGTGTAGTGATACATTGAGTTCGTCCTCTAAGCTTTTCCTCTCAAACCAATGAATTGATTTACGCTTGTACCTTGTCCACCTTCAATATCAATATCAATGTCTCTTGTACTCAATATTTTGAGTCAAGCTTGATCATAGCTCACTCTTGACTCGTTGTTTTCCGCAAACAGACTTCCTTATGTATGACTCTTGATCCTGACTCAGACCTTGTCAGATAGGGTCGATTTACTTTTTCTGTAGTCATTATTGACTTACTTTGTAGTCATCAATGTTTAATTAAGTTCAAAACCAAGCAAGCCCAAAAAGGAAGTTCAAAAAGGGTGATTGTGAAAGAATAGAACATAAGAAAATTTCTCAGATAACACAAGTGTGAGCGAATTAAATTGATAAGAAGCCGATGTTTGTTGGTATGATGAAATGAATTGTACACACCTTGATCCTTACCAAGTATGAGACAAAAGTGACTTCTTAGTTCCATCCAGTTTGCGAACTGGATGTTTGACTTCTACATCTAAGTAAGCTTCTTCTCTAATAGGTGTGGGTGGTGGAGAAAGCAAAGAAAGTGCAAAGGATTCCATCCAGAACATTATAAAAAATCTCTTATTTTTTCAAAAAAAAAAAGACATCACATTGCCCATTGTGTAACTCAAACCAATCACATAAGAACTAAACACCTCATCAAACATTGATCCACAAACATTGATCCACAGTTGATTCTGTGATAAGTAAAGTTCTTCACAAGTAGATTTGATGAGGGGTTTACTAGCAGTTTTTCTTCAGATATGTGGTTCTTCAGGGTCATATGCACTAAAATGTAAAAATTTGAAATGGTGCAAACCACTTGAAAGTGGTATAACTCAGCCAAACCTGATTCAAACTTGTTGATACCTTGATGAAAATAATCAGAAAAATGATTCATGCAGAGTTTATGAGGGCTTCTCCTCATATAAGTGGCTCTGGAAGGTTATCTGGGCAATGATCTGGGCTATTATGTGAGGTTTTGGATCAATGTTCACCACAGAAAAGTAGTTTAACTCAGCAAATATTTTAATAATGTAGTGATGCATTATTGAAATATGTTCAGAGACCAATTCCATGGGGACTTCATAATCATCACCAACAATGAACTCACTTGCATCAATGAACACGGATGTTGTTATCCTTGCAGTATGCTATTATGTAGTGGAAATATGGGTGAGGTGACCAAAAAAAAAAAGTTGAGATTTTTGGTTTTTTTCATAGGTTTAAGTGAAACAAAAAAAGTACTTTTTTTTGGGCTTATCTCAACAAACAAAAAAGATTTTCTTATAGAGTGTTTTCCCCAAAACAGCCCGAAATTTCACTGATAAGCCCATACGTGGTCCATGTGAGGCTGTGCGGACTACGTAGTAAGGTCAATCTCAAGGCCAAAATATCCAAAAACATTTTCCAATTTCAACTTTTGGGTTTGAAGCAAAACTGCAAAAGTTTTACTTGTGACATATGTTTCCACAAACATGTCAAATTGGGTTCCGCAGGCCCACTAAACAGGCCATAAGTGGTCTACACACAGTTGATTTGGCTGAAAACTGTGATAAATCTAAAGCCCATATACTCCAAAAATATTTTGCAAGTTCAACTTCTTGATTAACTTCAAAAGTGAAAAAGTTTTTATTATGGCATGTGTTGCCAAAAAATCGTGCAAAAGTACTACACAACCACTCATCACATCATAAGTGGTCTGTAATACCTTGATTTTGATAAAAGATGTGATAAATTTGAGATCCACAATCTGTAAGAATATTGTTCAAGTTCAACTTTATGATCAACTTCAAAATTGAAAAAATTTTGATTGAGGCATGTGCTGCCACAAAATTATTAAAAAGTACTACATGACCACTCGTTGCATCATAAGTGGTCCAGAAAAGGGTGATTTTTCTACTGATTGGAATTAATATGAAAGCAAAAATTACCACCAACAACATTCAAGTTCAATTATTGGGTTTTGACCTGAACTGTAGATTCTTTTTTTGAGCAACATAACTCACAAGTACATTAAAAATAGTAATAAACTTCTTCACAGTGTAAATGAACCACCTCTAGCATGCCTAGATAGTGGCCATACAATAGATATCTAATCAAATAATACAATCATGTATGTACTTGACCATCCATTAAAACTCTGAGAAAGTTTTAGTTGAGCCATAAGTTACACTGAAATAACAGATTGCTTATGATGAGCCTCACATACATCCACTTATCAAAATACGCACCAGCATGGGGCATTTATCAAATGATACACTTTGATAAGCCAACATATATACCTGAGAATTTTTCTATGAGCCTCAATGCCACAGTAACAGTCTCTATATGGCTTCTTTTGAGGTGCTACTTGATATTAGGTCAGTTTTCCATTCACAATGTGAATTTTTATTGAATTTTGGGCAAGTTTGTTAGGTCAGAAACTTGGGGTCTTATCAGTTTCAACCAATTTCAAATGATTTATAATTGGCAAATACACTTTTCTGACCTGCATAACTATTACTCCACTGAATCTTAAACATCAACCTTGAAGATTTTCAATCCCTTCCATCAAATTCTCGTTGCACACAACTGACCTCGCCATGAATCAACATTACCCCTATCAATCTGGAATCAATGCTCATGCTCACACATCACAAGCACCATTACTTCCACCAAATCAGAGCAATCTCCATGGCGCTGGTTTTACCGGTTTTGGTCAACAGAGTCAGATTCACAGGCATTTTCAAGAAGATACTCACATTTCCTCGACACAGCAACTCAGTGATCAGCAAATTCAAACTCAGCTAGGCAATAACATGTACTAGCACCTTAGCGGCGGGCGCCGCCCTTTCCCTTTTGTCTTGTGACTTGGCAGATGTGACCAATATGGTTCAACTCACTCAAAAATGATTTCCAGTCTCAAAATTTTTCACTACTTGACATTTACTCATTTATTCCTATTGGTGATTGTCAATAACTTAACAGCAATTTACAACAAGAGGTTTGATACACTCATGAAACATCTCCATTTGGCATTTACTTCTTGAATTCAATTGAGCATTTGATTTTTTTGACAGTGCTTACATTACATGTGATGATGAAGTGACTGAGAGAAACCATTGGTCACCTTGATTTCAGTAAGAAATCTATCTACATTTGGGCTTTGTGAAAGAAAACCCATGAAAAAAAATAAAGATCAAACTTCCAAATTCATCTTGAGCTCAGAATCAGATAAATGAGAGCAAGACCATCAAAATTTCAAAGATACCATTTCAAATCATAAATCTCACACTTCTCCTGTAACCAGATTAAAACATTTATAAATGTAGAAGCTTAGTAAATCTTGAAGTTCAATGCAATTGATGGACATTGGTAAATTGAGTTGATCAGGTCACCAATCAATGATCATACATAAAAGAGCCTTCCAATATTTGGCGCACAGAAGGTATATTTTTGACAACCTTGGAAAGGTACCCTGTCTGGTTATCAATGAGTTTAACAATAAGTGATAGAGGTTAGATCAAATTGTGACCTTCAACACTTATCAGCTTACAGCTGGTCTCACGTGGACACAACCTTCAGACCCTTAATACATTTTTTACTCAATAAATCAAATGTCGCGGCGGAATTCCAACTACAAGCTCCCCAGCCGTTGGGTGATTCCTTGACCGAGGCAGATAGGGATGAAGATTTGAAGGTTTTAGAAAGCAACTCAATCCCCAAGCCAATTTTTGATGCCATAAAGGCACAGATGGTGCATGGTACACCTATAGGATTTGTTGTTGCAAATGAAGGTTTGGTAAGTGCTATCACAAGAAGAGCATCTTCTGGATTCTGGATACTACAGCATGATCTGCAAGATTTGATCCTACACCTGAAAGGTTCAGTATTATTGGAATATCAATTCTACCCAACACTGATGGCTTACCCATACCACTTTGCTCCAAGATGGCAGGTGTACCAAATTGACCAGCACTTGAGATGCTCTTCACGGGCCAGGCCTGTTCTTTTCACACCTCAAGATGAGTATTTTACACTTTGAACAGCTTCCTCTTTATCTGACTTTAGGCCAAGAGACACTCTACTTTGGAACCTGCCCCAACAATCAAATTTGAGCACAAAGCAATTGGGAAATCTGTAAACAAAGCTATCAAAGACAAAATAACCATGCACTGACTCCCATTTGAAGATCATGTCTATATCTGTTTGCACCGGTGCTGAAAACATCAATTCTTCAAACTCCAGTGCGGGAACCGCTCAATCAAGAACTACCAAGGGAGGCCAAGTACAACTATCAAGCTAAATACCGCCTCCTTTTCACATTGTTGCATTAACTAACAAATATGTGGACAAACAATATGATTGTAGGAATGAGTGTTGGAAATTATTTAGAATCAATCCGAGCATCAGTTACAGTAATTGAAATATGGGAAGAAGTTGGATTGGACTTGGATGTAGTATAAAAGTTAATTTGAGTTTCAAATAATTCAAAAAATCAACTTTCTGATGAAGAGACAATAATCAATTCTACTAAAATCTTTGATAGATTGAGAGATGTAATGAGTAGAATTGCTGTAATTGAACATTCAAAAGTTTCTACGGTTTGGGAATTGATGTCAAACTTATGTGACTGTGTTCAAGATTATAAAAGCATGTCAGAACATCAACTTACAGCTTATCAATTGGGAGTTTTGCAGGTTATAGAACTATATGAACCACTAATTTAACATCGTGGAAAGCAGCAAGTGAGATTGTAGGAAGTCTGATTGATAGATTAGAAACCATTGGACCCAAGTTGAATGATAAGAATTCAATTCTAATGAGATAATTGATTATTGAGGATCCAAAGTAATAATTCTTGAGCAGTTTAAAAACCTTGAACGCAAGAAATGGTAAAAACTAATTGGATCTGATCATCTTCATTGTTACTATCATTTTTCAAATGATTTGAGATCTATCTTTGTTACTATTTAAATCTAAATCAGACTGGCTTGGTCTTTTTTTGTGCAACTTTGAAATGTCCAGTCAACTTTGTTAAAAAAGGATTTTTGTCATCATAGAAAATGACTTGAGAAAAGAATAGTTTGTGATTTTTGAGTTTGAAGACTTACCACAGATATGATTTTGTAACATTGACACTGAACCTTGTACTCTTTCCATACCTGGACCATGATGATCACAACTATAATGTTGACCATAATACCCCACATGATGACTGTGCTCTAAAAACAAAAACAAAAACAAAATACCAAATCAGTATTGAGATTTCTAGAATAAGATTATAAAGAGAGATAGAGTAGAGTGAGATTACATTTAGAAGTGAATAAGTTGGGATTTTAGGCATTTTACAAAGATCAATAGTTTTTCTAATCAATTCGTCTGAAATAATTGTTCTGAATGATTTTAAACTATGCATCAATTCATCAGATTCATCTACTGATAATACTACATCATTCATTACAATCTTAAACCATTCTGTCGTTCCTTTTGGTGGTTCCTCATCATAATGAGTACTATGATTTGATTTTAATGATTTATAATCAGTTGATTGTGCTTCTAATCTTTTTTTCAATCTTGATCTTACTACTTTTAATTTTGTTTGGATTGGACGTGGTGGTGAGATATGATCAGATAGTGAAGTTTCCAACAAAGTTAAAATTGACGTAATTGATGAATGATGGTTTGATGATGAATTCAAGAGACAATGAAATAAAAAGAGCCAAGTTGAGACAATTAAGAATCCTTTAATTGATGTCCTTGATCTCAATTTACCTGGTAAGTTTTAGTCAAAGTTAATGAGATGAGCTCGGTCTACTGATCGTGATAATGACTTGGTTGTTCCTGTTGATTAATCTCGTCCTCGATCGGGTTGGTAGGGTTAACTATATAAAGGCAACAATGGTCAGTCTTGTTGATAGGTGATTTTCATGAAGATTGTGCTTTTGAACAATAAATATCTGACAATTGGTTATGGACTTACTTTATCAGCAAATTACCCATGCAATTAATTTGAACATCTTGAGTTTGTCAATCCCTAAAACAAAAAGATCATACGCAAGTCAGCAAATTAGCTATTGAAGGCATTCTATGAACATCATATGGATATATGGATGAAACTATACCAGTTTGGGCAAAATTGATAAGTTACTCCATGTGTAATTCCCTCCAAATTGATAATTTACTTCATTTTTGATTAAATAGTGGATATGACCCGGATTTGATGTATGATTTGCTGTGATCGACAGTGATCTGGAATCTTGTGCAGGTGACAGAACACAAGTGATAAAGGTGATCGATTCAATCTCAGTTTGGTTCAATCAAACAAACTCGGAAGAGACATGTCATTAAAATTGAATATGCAGATCTATTTCGATTTGGATGATTGTAAAGAGACAATGATCGTTTGGGTGCTATCAAGAATAAAGAAAACATAAAAGTTTGAACGGTCAGTTTTTACAAACAAAAGCTTGACAGGGAACAAACTTCACAAAACCTTTGCAAACCAATAGACCTGAGGGTGTCAAAGATGAGAGGATCGAGATGGTTTTGATGTCAGATTCAAGTTGATTGTTTGAAAGAAATCTGATAAAGTTATGTACAACCTTGATAAAACTTTGGGATCGAAGGCATGTTGATTAGCAGATTGTGACCCAAATGATATGGCTTTTTCAGTTTTCCATTTCTACCGATGCAGACCAACAAGTTGAAAATGAAAAATCTTGCTTGAAATCGAATCCTTTTTAACAGATAGTTTCAGTGATTGTCCAAGTCGTGTGATCGAGGTTGAAGACAGAGTCTTATAAGGTTCCTTGCAAATCGTAAATGTACCATTCTTGATTCAAACAGCTTCGAGACCATTCCTTTTTCTTCTGGGGTGATTTTCAAGTCTGTGTTAAGGGGCTTGAAAAGATAGGAAAAGATTGAATCCAGTGCGAGGAGTAAGATAGATTGGGCCGTTTTTGTGTCATCATATAATACTTTTTAACCTGCTCTATAAGTTCGACGATTAGCATTGGAAGTACACTTACGTTTGTAAATTAGATCAAGAGGTCTGATTTTCAAGGATTTAAAATATTGTGTCCATCTAGTGAAATCAGAGTTTTTGCATAGATTGCTTGAACTGCCAGTTGAAATCAATCAAATTATCTGAAAGAGAATGAAGAGTTAGTTTTGTATTCTCAATCTTCCTGTGATATAAAGCTTTGATGACTTACAGAAAACAGAAGATTTTATTCAAGAGTTGATTGAGTTTGAATTGGGTAGCCAAGTCTTGATATAAAGGTAATGATGGTGCAGTAAGTTCACTATCACACATAGTGAATAAAAAAGAAGAAGGTGAAGCTAGAAGAAATGGCATCTGGCTAGGTATGAGGAGTCTTGATTCAGAAGGCGAATTGCCTAATCTTCAGTAATTAGAATCACAATGATAAATTCTAGGACAGACAAATCGCTGACCTGGGTATGGGATCTTGGTGCTTAATATCTCATCTTTTCCCGCTTGTCTTTAGATTCATCGCTGCTTGAAGTTATTCCCGAGCTGAATGAGAGTTAATATTATAGAAAAGATGGATGGTATGGTGTGTTAATCAACTTGATGATGATGACATGTATTTCAACTCTGGGGGAAGTGAAAGTGTTAATCATCTGTGCATTGTCACATAGGCTTTGGCCGTGTCGAGCAAGTGGTGAGTTGTTGCATTGATTTTGGGGATACATATGGAGATCCGCTGAACTGTGATTGGGATTGGCAATGATCATGATGGTGAATGCAAATTGATGTACAAAGATAGGTTTCTGACCAAGGACAAAACTGGAAAATCACACTAATGGTGGATTTTGTCGAGTTTTGTAAGCAAACCGTCTCTGGGATTAAATGTTATGATAACTCTCATCATGACTATCATCACACTCATAATAGCTATGAGAATCCTTCCTATCCTCCTGGGGCTCACGGTCAGCAAATTCAAAACCAACTCCATCAACACTCTAGCTTTAATTATCTTCAGCAATCCCAGAAAACTCAAGATCACCATGCATACCAGCAAAACTCAAGTGCCATGGTCTCCCCAGCAAATATCACGCGTGTTACTTCAGTTATAGCCCAGGAGTCGCGTCCTCACATCGTACAACCATCAAACACTCAACACACGCAACTCCCCCCTCGACAACTCCCACCTCCTTCTCAGGTACAACCACATCATTCTCAGGCAACAGGAACTCGCTCAGAAGTCCAAGCGCGCAAAAAGTCTCAAAAACGCAACAGCGGCCGCGGTCCAATCACCACAACTAGCTCGACCACAAACACTTCAATACCAACACAGACACCCACCACCACTACACAAGCCATTGTTAGTCTCTTTCTCCCCAACTCACTCAGAGGAGAGAAAGATCGCTCGCAACTAACACCATCGAATCTTCCAACCTCGGAAGAGATGATGAACAAGTCCTCTGTTGAGCTACGCATCCTTGCATCTAAGCATGCTAAGGGGTCTACTGTACCTCCAGACAAGCAAAAACTCATCATGTGTTTGTACAAAGAGTTAGATAAGGTATTGGCCATCAACTGTATTGATCATCAAGTTTCAGTCGCGGCAGTACGCCAACTATGGTAAGTTGGTCTCTTTCAATCTATCATGTTACCGATCTACTGACAAGGATCATTACAGGGGTGAAAAGCTGGCACGGAAAGGCCTGAACTCATGGCAACGGTTTAATCAAAGCGAACAGATTTGAGGAGCATATAGAGATGGTGAGTACTGTAACTTATTTGATCATACATATATACATACAATAAATTGATATCACTATGCTATAATTTCAGCCTCAGGTGTAGCAAGTGGAGAGGCCTCAAAGTTTGCTTCGGTCAAATGGAATGAGATGTCTAAAGAAGAGCAAGATTCTTACAAAGTAGGGAATCAAACTACAAACAGTGCGACTAGTTCCAACACCATCGATTCTGCATCCGATGCCAACACAAATACATCCTCAACAACAAAGGAACCTGTTTACCACAATGCACAAGCCAAAAATCTCTCTTTGGCAAACACACAAATAGCTGTCAACAACTTCATGATCAAGTGGCAAGAAGAGGTTGGTTTTGTCTATTCATAGCAGTTGGTTTATTCTAACCATGTTATGCATTCAGGCCAGAGATGTAGCTGCAACATATGAGGGAGATTTTCTCATCATTGGTGTATCAAATTACTTGGGCAATTATGCCTATCAAATTGCTCGAGGGACACCGCGCGCTTTAAAGTGGCTGGATAACAACAAAAGTTGCAACCAAATGAACCACATCGCCGCACAATTACAATCATATGTTACTGGAACTGAGGCTGGCCTGCTCATGTCAAGTAAAGCTAAAGTTGATGGTAAGTTAATGATTACCCACACTGTGATGGATCATCCCTGTACTGATACTTTCTGCTTTGACAGACAGGACTAAATGTCGAGAAGCCCTGTCTGATTTGATACGTCAGTCCGTTTATCTACAATCTTGTCATGATATCTCTCTGACTAGCGCACCTTCTACTTACCTTCTGCTTAGATACACGGACAAAAAGAGCGTTTGAGAAGTGGCCTTGGAAAGGTTGTGAACAGAAACTAGCCGTTAAAGGCTACTTTATACAATTTGACCCGGATTCAAAATCACAAGCAAGCGATATCACACAAGATAGTAATCAACTGACCCCAACCCAAGCTCACAATGTCTTGTCTGATCTTTCAGATAACAAGATCCTAATTCTGGAAACCGAAGCTGGTCCCATCCGAAACGCCAAACGGAAACGCAACCACAACAGTGACCCTGATGATACGCCTACAGCTACATCCCCGACTGTCGATACAACCTCCCCTTCCACCGATAATCCAGCAGATCATCCACCTCCCACTTCGAACACCGCCTCCACAGCCATTATTGCTGATGAGACACCTATCACCAATAACTCTACGACTGGTAACACACCCATTGCTGACGACCCACCCATTCCCATTAGCACAACAGCTGCTACCATCAATGTCACACTTATCGCCGGCAACACCACCTGAACCTCACACTTCTGATTATGAAGAATAGTGTTGTATTGCTACAACACCAGCTGAAGGACATTTACTCAATAGTGGCAAGGTACTGAACTTCAAAGGTGTCGGTATTTATTACATCATGATATCGACTTCAATTATTTTCTGATTATTAGATCATCTTTACAACATGCAACATTGATATAAATAAGTTTGGATGTACATATTGTTGAGGCTAGTATATAAACTTTTGAATGCACGTAATTGAAGTAAAACCATCAAACTTTTGAATGCACGTAATTGAAGTAAAAGCATGGTTGACAACTGCACTGTTGCAATTTTCTCTGCAATTTTATCTCAGCTTTACGGAATGCGAGGTGTGTCAAAGTGACAAATAGAATTTCAAAATTGGAAATTTCAGAATCCCCGGGTCAGAAATTGACAAAACTGGATTAAACACCAGATTTAACTCAAATACTGGTCTGAAACCCCCTGTATTGGGGATAAAACCAAACTTTCTGCCAGTTTCCCCTGTTTGCAAACCGCAACTCAAATTACAACCATTGACTTGGCACTTTGGCACAAATAATACACGAAAATTTCAAGAAATCAAATTTTCAACATGTCAAAATTCACAAACGTAAAAAACAACAAAACACACAAGGTCATGTGACCAGTTGTGGACTGGGATTTTGCTCAATGGTACACATAGTCAATATCAATGACTGATATTGCCATTACAAAATTCATTAAAGGCAACACAATCAAAGGACACAATGACAAACATGATCACTAGAGGACCACCTAAGCCTGGGTGGTCCATGTAATCCAATTTGACCACCCAGGCTTAGGTGGTATATAGACAACAGCCTTGAAGGCCTAAGACTAGGTGGTCAAACTTTATTAGATAGACCACCTAGGCTTAGGTGGTCTTTTTCTCCAGTCAAGAAACTGGAGAAAAAGCCCTGGAACTGGTCCCATGGTACTCTATCCAGTTTATTGACTGAAGAAGAGGACTAAATAAGCCTAGGTAGTCCTCCTATTAAACTTAGACCACCTAGGCCTGTTCTCCAGTCGATCGACTGGAGAAGAGGACCACATAAGCCAAGGTGGTCCTCCCATTGAACTTGGACCACCTAGGCCTCTTCTCCAGTCGATCGACTGGAGAAGAGGACCACATAAGCCAAGGTGGTCCTCCTATTGAACTTGGACCACCTAGGCCAGTTCTCCAGTCGATCGACTGGAGAAGAGGACCACATAAGCCTAGGTGGTCCTCCTAGTAAACTGGGACCACCTAGGCCTGTTCTCCAGTCGATCGACTGGAGAAGAAGACCACATAAGGCTAGGTGGTCCTCCTAGTAAACTGGGACCACCTAGGCCTGTTCTCCAGTCGATCGACTGGACAAGAAGACCACATAAGCCTAGGTGGTCCTCCTAGTAAACTGGGACCACCTAGGCCTGTTCTCCAGTCGATCGACTGGAGAAGAGAACTACATAAGCCTAGGTGGTCCTCCTATTGAACTTGGACCACCTAGGCCCGTTCTCCAGTTGATTGACTGGAGAAGAGAGCCACCTAAGCCTAGGTGGTCTATCTATTAAAGTTTGACCACCTAGGCTTAGGTGGTTTAGGCTGTGGTCTATGCTACCTTACCAAAGGTGATCAAACCATAAATAAAGGTGATTTGGTGGTCTTTGACTGGAGAGAGTACCTGGGGACTGGTATGTATACTTGACTAAAGCTGTAGACCACCTAACACTGGGTGGTCCAACCCTAAAACCAGGATTACGTAGCCTGTCTGAAGCAGCTACCCGGGGACCGGCGGTACACCCATACCAGTTTTCTTCAGTTGATGGACTGAAGCTGTGGGCTACCTAAGACTAGGTCAATCATGATTGTGGAAGAAGTAGGTTTTGGCTAGTATTGTTGTTGTGTGGTAGGTGTTATGTTTTGCCTTCTGTGCTTTTTTAAGTTGGTGAATTTTGACATGTTGAACATTTGATTCCTTGAAATTTCCATGTATATATTGTGCCAAAGTGCCAACTCAGCGGTCAAAATCGCAGTCGTGGTTATTAAACCGTGAGAACTGGCAGAAAGTGTGGTTTTATCCCAAATACAGGGGGTTTCAGACCAGTATTTGAGTTAATTTTAAAGTTTAATCCAGTTTTGTCAATTTCTGACTCGGGGATTCTGAAATTTGTTTTTTGGAAATTTGATTTGGCACTTTGGCACACCTCGCATTCCGTACAGCTTGACAAGTTACAGTTCATATTTTGAACACACATTCATGTGATGACTTGATTCCTTGAAATCTGAACAATTTTCTACATCAACACATTGCATAGTTAATTTTCTGTCTATTTTATATTATCATTAATGTCCTGAAATGCAGACTTATGTTATGAGTACCATTTGCTACAAGACAACACCCTTTGTGAAGGTATCAAGTCGGGCGAGTATGACCCTTAAGTAAACCTATTCGAGATTTTCAAGATTCAGAACTAATGTTTTGTGATCAATAGTCGATCAAGTACAAATCATTCCTAATCCTAGTGAACGAGCTTCCACTAAATGTGGGAAAATCAAGCAAACAAATAAGTGCTACAGCTTGGATGTTGTGACTTTATTGTTATAGGTGTTAGGGAAGCTGTGTTTCCTTTTCTTCTCAATGATCAGACTGGACAAGCAGATGTTTACTCGATTCCTTGCATTTTCAAGAAAACCATTGTAAGAAAACAATGAATCAAGTCCTCCAACTCCTAGGAAAACGTTCAATTGAGTCCACCGAGTCCTGAAGACTATCGTGGGTAATTGATCAATTGAGTTTTTCAAGTACTACAAACACTTGTGCGAGTCCCTTGTGGTTGATGAATCAACTGTGCTGCGAGGTCCAGAACAAAGTAAGAAACCGAGCAATAGAGATGTGGTTAACAACAATAGAAACGATAAAACAATGAAACCAATTCTGTTCTAATCATACTTTTGACGCGGCCTGGTGAGAGGAGTTGCTGAGAGTGGGATGAAGTGCTGATGATGTGGATAAGTTGATGATCGGTGGTGATGAGGTGAGTCGAAGGTCGATTTCCACCAAAACCAATGAGTTTACACACCAGTTGTAAATATTCACTGGTTCACAAGCTGAGCTAATCTCTGCACCAGTCAGAGGTTAAGCCAGACTTGCTGATGTAATGATCGTCTTGATGCTGTTATATTGGTTTCTGTGATGATGATCGGTGAAGGTCGGTGGTGGTCGGTGGTGGCTAAGTTTGCGTGGTGGTGAGGTGAGTCAAAGTTATTGAGGGATTGATCGGTCGGTGACTCGGTACTTGTCTCTTACTGATTGAGACCGACATGTGATGTTTACATACCGTAGGGCTTCTTAAGCCTTAAACGGCTGAGTTGTATGCTTGAATTTCAAAAAAATCTCGAAGTTGGTGTAAAGTTGGTCACCGAGACGGCGAGATGAGTGAGATGATTCGAGATGAGGAGAAGGGCGCTGGCAGCGGCTGTATGGTACACTTTTATGGTACGCTTCAAGTGGTTCAATAGGGTACCCCGAGGTGGAATATTCACTAAGAGCATCTCCAACATTGCTGAATCCGAAAACATGTACAGGTGAGTTTTTTCCTTGGCTGGACAGCTGTATTTTTTATTCAGTGACAGCGCCCTCCAGCGCACTACTCAACTTCATGCTCAATATCTCTTGAGGTCCAACCCATGTCACCCAAAGTAGCCCAAAGTCCCTTTTTGTCCAGACGAGAGCAGTCACCTACCTGTGTTGTTGTCACAATACGTAACAAGTTCGACGTACGGACAATCATTTTAGTCAATGCTTGGCCAAAAGGTGATGGGAGATCGCTTTTCAGATTGTTCAGCCAGGTCCGCAAATTTGCGGACCTGAGCATGGGAGTGTGTCATTTCCCAAAAACCAAGTTCGCACTGTGGGCCAGGTGTGAGACCTTGCCCTCGGCGCTGGAGGACGATTTTCTGAATAACACCTGTACACGTTACGTTTTTGACATAAACGTAACGTTTAGTCATTCAGATTGGGGCGCGTTGGAGATGCTCTAAGCTCGACTGAAACTTTGACCACACTATTGAGCACCATGGCAAGATGAGATTATTTGATTTCAAGTCTTGGGTTTGAGTGAGTCTTGTTAGGAAATTGCTCATGTAACTGAGAGTCAAACTGGATTCGTCTAGTGTTGAGCGCCATGTTAAAGATTGTAGAAATAAGATCAAATTCATCCTGAACCTTTTCTTGTATACCCAGTCAACAGCAAAACCAGGACATTGAATCGGATGGAGCAATTGGTCCGTTTGAATTGAATCAGCCAAGATCATATTGATGAGCATCGCTTTGTCGCTCAAAACTCGAACAAATTGGACCTGTGGTTTGTTCCTCAACAACATAAACTCAATATAACACAAGTGTTGAACCGCTTTGAACAGAGTTGAAAGAATTGAAAGTCGTGTCAAGTTGGAAAGTTGATGTCTTTTTTTGAGTGACTCAAGCCGTCTCCAGTTGTTCTCAACGAGTTTGAGAATCACGCCGCAAAACGATAACTCAGGCTGATCAGAAGTCGTAGCAAGCCGGCCAACGTCATTGAACTTGCCATATGTAGATCAGCAAATCAAACAGCGGCCGGATTGGGTAACAAGGTTACAGGATCTTTGATTGACATGAGTTGGCACAACACAGTTTGGTGTTTATTGGGAATACCATGAAATATGTGGAATATCCCGGAAATATTGCATGGTTGCGGAACCTTGCTTGTGTATTTTTGCCATAGTTTTGTATTTGAAGTGCCTTTGTGGTTAAATGTAATGATAAGATGAAAAAGTAAAATCCTTCTTTGATGGGACATGCATTAAAACATTAGAAATAGTATCTACACTTGAAAAAAGTTCAATTTGAGTTGTTTCAATGTCACAAATTATTCAGCTCAGTGCATCTGATGTGCTCTGGGCTGTGCGCTTGATTCAGAGTCGACGGTGTGTGCCACTCTTGCTTCGACTTTGTAGTCGC